CTGCTCTGGGTGTGTGTTCACGGTGTGTGTGTGTTCACTGCTGTGTGTGTGCACTTTGGATGGGATAAATGCAGAGCACTAATTCCAAGTATGGGTCACAGTACTTGGCCACATGTCACCACTATATCCGTCACTTCTTCGTCACTTCACTTGAACTAGGTATTGCAGTCCAAATTCAAAATATTGGAGAGGGTTTTTTCCACCCTCCTCCTCAGACTTGAAGCACAGCAGGTTGCCAGATTGACGACACCAACAGGAACGAGCACACTTGACGATGAATGGAATGAAATATGCTTTGTTTTCCGCTGGCAACCCAGTTTTCAACTGGCAACCCGGGGTGACGAAATACAATTGGGTAAACTGGCAGTGGGCGGGTTTCACAAACCAAAACAGAGACCGACTTTCCTGCCCGAAACGCACATATTCAAAGGAGAATAACTGACTGTAGCATTGTTTTTCAGATAAACAAGTATGTTAACTTAGCATGTTTCTTAAATATCTGCAAACATATAATGGTATTTTTATGCTTTAGTAGAGTCAAAAACTTACATACAGCACGTTTAAGTGTATTAAAAAGAAATTCACTTACAGTTTTTCTCTGTCGATTTGACACTTTTCTCCAAATGTAATTGCTCTCAAAACAATTAACACAGTTATCTAAACGCAAACTTAAAAATTTAAAACAGCAAAATTAAGCACTGCGATTTTTTTTCTAGTAATGCATTTATTTAAAGTATATATTAACATCAAATCTAAAGGTGTGTTCTCTATTGATGTTTATTGCAAAGTTCAGCAGGGAGTTTTGCTTTCTATATATTGTGTTAATCTAAATGAAATAAATATACTGTATATACATATGTCTGTGTGTGTGCGTGTGTGTGTGCGCGCGCGCGTGTGTGTGTGTGTTTGCTGTTGTATGTGAATTATGCTGAATTACTGATCTTGCCTTTCATTTACATCTGGAAGAGAATTCCTTCTGCACTGCATTTTATCTACACTACATTCTTGCTGCACTTGCATCATGGAAAATTGTGAGAAGGTTGTGAGAAGGTCAACATCTCCACAGGCCTCTTCCTTTGTGACTGGTGGTGTTGTTCTGGACCACCATGTCAACAATGCTCTTGTTCCATTCAAAATAAACTTGATTGTCCACCTGAATGTTCTCAAACTTCAATTCTGAATTTTTTTTTTTTTTTGACATTTACATGTAAAGAACAGACGTTATCTCAGGAGTACTACAATTCTGCACTATCAACAATCATAGCACAATATTCATAAATAGAGAAGTGTATTGATAAACTATTTAGATCTGTTTCCCAGCTTCTGTAAAGGAGAGGCTATGATTTCTTACATTGTCTATTTGGGTAATTCTGATTTAATTTGAAATTTGTCTTTACCTTCTGCCTCTCGTTCCACCCTGTTGTCCACCTCTTCTCTGTCCATGTCCTCCTCTTGCTCTTTCCACTACACCAATGCCCTCCACTCTACTCATCTCTTTTCCCTCTCCTTCTCCTCTCCTCTTTTTCTAACATCCTACTCTCTGTTCATCTCTTTCTACCTGTTCCACTCTTCTTCTCTCTCATTAAACCCCTTTCTCTACCCACTCCACAACCTTTGAGACGTACACCTCTTTCTTTACCCCTGCCCCCTTTTTTTCATATTCTTTCTTGGTCTTTGTATATTCTCCCCATTATAGCTAAAGCAATTGTGATAAATGTGTAAACAAATAGAACAATTATGTTTTCTGTGTTGTTTTATTAAGCGAACGATTATTAGTTTGGGGCCAACTGAAAATATACCATGTGCATTTGATGATATGACAAATTACAGAGTTTTGTTTGTTGTATTTGGACAAATGGTATTCATAAATGTTTGTGATTTGTGTAAAACCAATAAAAGGAGCTACAATTGTTTTTTTGTTTTTTTTCCCAGATATTTTAAAGTATTGGTTGGTTGTATTAAGTATTATAAAAACATTTGAGAGTTTTGTGCCAAGTTTTTTCAGTAAATTATTTGCACGATTTGTAATTTGTATGAAATGAATGAAAACTTACAATCTGTTTAGGACAATTACAAAGTCTTCAGATCACTGTGCAAACTGTTTTGAGAACATTGACCTGATTTTGGAGAAATGTATCAAATCAATTGAGAAAAACTGTAACTTGTTATTATAAGATTTTTAAAAGTTTTATAAACCTAATAGCCAAAAAAGCCCCAAATATATTCCACAAACCCAATGTGGTGTCTTACCCAGCGTCGGCGCCACGGGGGGGCCTGAGGGGGCCCGGCCCGGCCACCTCGGTAACTGTGCCCCCTCACCTCTGGTGCCGTCTCCGTAGTAGGCGCCCTGATTTTAGTCGGTGAGGCAAGGTACTGCCCCGGGAAGGTTTCCCAGGCTGTTAAATACACAGATTAAAAGCGAAATGTTTTCATTTCGGTTTGTTCTTAGCAAAAAATGTTTTTTTCGTTCAGGTTATGCAGAGCGAAATAAGAACGGTGCTACATTTAGAAAGAATTCTTATTAACTTTGCTATTATTCTTGAATTTTCAAACTGCTAACACTTTGCACTTTGCAGTTTCGAATTATGCCTTTACTGTATGACCAAAAATGACGGAGTAGTCTATTTGATGTTTCAGCTGTTTGATCGCGCCAGCGCCTCACGCGCACACTAAGCTACTGCATTCATTGGAAACAGCTCAGCTGTTCACCGTGCCGTTCGGCGTGTGAGACCCGCTCCACTGTGGCATATTTTTGCTCATTATGATATTTTTCCGTCGATACTGGAACGTGCTTGAACTACAAAGCCTATTTTACCTAATACGGCTAATAGTTTAGCTTCAGCTACATTGCGAATATGGACACATTTGGATGTGTGCCTGAGAGAGGTAAGCCCAACTTTACCTTACGTTTCTTTATAAATAATTTGTTTTGGCATGTTTATTGCTAAGCATATATTATTATATACTGCAATTATATTTATCCATTAGAATTATATATTTTAAAATTCTTATTCTGTTCTGATACGGTTAAATTTAAAGGATTTGTTGTAAAGTGAGGGGAACTAAAATATCCTATAGTGTTCATAATGTTGGTACATTATAACATTATTAGGCCTGCCGTTATTATTTCTGAAAATGCAACTTATACGAGACGTATCTTTTTTTTATTTTCCTCAAAAAAAAAAATATTTTTTTTTTAATTGTGTTTTTAAAAGCATGCAGCAAACGAAAATATGCGATTAATATGTTAAAATTTGTTACTGTGGGTTAACAAATTTACATTAGTAGGCTATTCTTATGCTTGGCTTCACAGATAGCAACAGAGTCTGGGCCAAATCTGGTTTACATTCACTTCTGGCTTTTTTCAGTCTTGATTGCAAATGTTTTTTTGTTTTTTTTATGTACGATGGATAATTAAAACAAAAATCAGGCGTGTGTATTTATAACATCAATTACTAGGCCTACATTCTTTTTTTCAGAAATGGAAGTAACTTAAAATGTTATTGTGTGTTTGTAATTTTAATATTTTTATCTATAGGCCTATACAGCAAAACTACAGAGCTTCCAGTAGGTTATTTTACGGAGCTGTAAACACGGGAATCTCCGACCGCATGCAATCTTTGACGAACACCCAATTCATATATCAAACTAGGCTATGTTATTAAATTGTACAGGCTATATATCAGATTATTTTATTTACAAGTTTCATGTTTGTGTTTATCCCGTTTTTTCCCCCCGTTGCATCTGAAAATTACTTTCAGAAACATTTTTTTTTATCAAAGCTTTCCTTCTGAAAGCAGGTATGGCACATCTTTCAGGGTGTGTCCATGATGACAGGTGTTCCACTGAGTTTCATCTTTGTATTGGATTTTTTTTTTTTTTTTTTAAGAATATGTAATTAGAATATTGTACAATTATAAGATTGATTAAAAGACTGTTTGGTAGAACTGTCATCTTTTGGTTTTCTCCAGCATCCAAAAGCAAACACCTCTAAACTATAATTCTCCCAAAGCTCAGTATATTGATAAGTCTGAAGTAAACAGGTCATGCATGATATGACCTTTGTCAAACTGTTATAAAGAAAGCAGGAACTGCATTCATCTCTCTATTTTAACTTTATAAAATACTTGGAATGATAATTGACTTGATCTGCTCAGTTAAACATGCTTTATTGATATTAAAATGAAAACAATCTTTTTCTTTTTAAAACAATGTTCAAATGTAAGTTTAAGTTTCATTTTGGCTGTAGAAGACCTTTTTCCTGTAAATGCCCCACCTATTCAGAAACTATTTACATGGCTATGACAGCAGATGTCTGAACAGCGCAGGTTAACAAACAAATACAGCAGATCTGATGTGCTCAGACAGATAAGATCATCACATGTCAAAATGTATAGTGCAGATCAAGTTATTCATGTTATTCAAGACTGACAGGGTATGGGATGGTAAATGATCAGCACCTGGTATCACGGTGGAAACTGTTTGACATATAACTTATGTTGGCTTTAATTTTTCTGGGAATGAAAAGGTCAAAGCCTTCAGTTTTGGAGAGGAGAGGATCAGTGTGCAATATATGTCAGTGTTATCATTTACTGTCTATGAAGCAAAGGCAAGTTTAATTTTATGTATTTTTAGAAGAAAATGCATGCCTTCTGCTCGCTGGCTGACTGGCTAAATCAGATATTGAAAGATAATGCCATGTTCTCTTGAAATATTGTCTTTGTTTTATTTTGCTGATTTATGACACATATTTATAGTCATTTATCTTTATTCATTTATTAAATATAAAAAATAATAGAAAACAGCTCAAAGATATGTCAATGAAGTATGTTTAATTTATTATCATGTATTTCATTGCATTAAAATATGATCATCATTTCAAAGCACATGAGTGGTTTATATTCAACAGGTGGTATAACATTTTCAAAAAAACATTTCAGAACTATTAATTTCACACTTCATGGGAAAGCACACTTCAAAACGCTGATGCCTGCAGGCACCCTGAGCTCCTTGTGTTTTTGGGCGAATTTCACCAATGACTGTGATACGTTTTGGATCCCAAACACAGTCTTCTTCAAGACCACTTGACACCATGCCACAGTTTGGAGGACACCAGGCAGTGTCGTACCGCTGATCGTGCCAGGTTTTCTGCATTGGATGACCTTGATAGTCAATCTTCTTCACTCTCCCAACATTGACCTTCACTCTCAGAACCACTCTCTCGTTCTCAGCCCTTATAAAAGAAATGTTTATTGTATAATGAAATATAAAAATCATTATTAACTTTGTAGAACTTTTTTTTTTTTTATCTTACTGCTTTGCATTTTTGTGCCCAGAATATAAATATTTGCATGTTAATAGAATATACATGAGGTATAAAGATAAATGGTGTTATGGTGGTATATGGGTGGAGTTATATACAGTTTTTTTCCCCCCAGTTCATATCAGGAAGCTCTATGGCCTTCAACTCACTTAGATGTTTTTTGTATTTCAATTGTTACACCAAACATAATGAAATGTTAAAAATCCTAAAAGAAAAACAACAACAACAAAAAAAAAGACCCATGAAAGGTATGTATAAAGGTAAGTTCCTCATATTGAAAAAGGATTGTACGTTTATTTGCAAAGATATTTCAAATATATTCTTTAAAAATGTTGTAAATGTTATGTGTATGTAATCAGGGGCGTAGCCATCATTTCAGAAGTGAGGGGGACAGAAATGTTATATACAGTATATATAAAAAATATATAA